AGACCACAGTCGCAGGAGCACAAGGAGGAGAGCTAAGCCTCACTGGTTTTATGCTCTATTGTATTAAAGCTTCTGAGCTCAGTGAACCCCAAGCAGATTCGTGTCAAGCGTTTTTTTCTACTTAATATTTAAATCTGTGATACTTAAGAGTCAAATTTAATCCAGGCATTTTGGATTTCTGGACAAAGAGATCATTGAAAAGCAAATTTATCAGAAATATTTGACATGCAAAAAAGCTTTTTAAGCAACTTTTCTTACAAATAGGAATCTATGTTTTGTCAGATCTTAAAAGTGAGATCCACCGCATGTTAATTTTAGTCTGGAAATCCAAAGTTAGGATTTGATGTAGATTTCAATCTTTATGCCTCATCATCCTGGTTAAAGGACATGGGAGGAGGTCACTGAAGACCTGGTTGAGAAACCCCAGTTTTGGGGAGCCGCTGTCTCCCCATTTTACTGTGACAAATGTTTTTCTGTGGGACCTTTGCCTTGTTAGTTCACTGTGAATTGCAGAATAAAGTTTTCTTGAGAGGGACAAATTGAAAACTTCCAAAATCTGGCTTAACAGACCCTAAGTTTTAAAGACATCAATGTTGTACTTACTAGGAATAAAAAACAATCATTCTTAAACTGAATTTATTTTACTTAACAAAGCATCCATGTGACAGCTGGGTCATCCTCCCACCCATCCTTTTTTTTTTTTTTTTTTTTTTTTTTTTTTTTTTTTTTTTTTTTTTTTTTTTTTTTTTTTTTTTTTTTTTTTTTTTTTTTTTTTTTTTTGCATTTTCTTGAAAAAAATCTTTGTATTGAAGTAAAATATAGATATGTAATTTACCATCTTTAGCATTTCGAGTGTATAGTTCAGTGGTAATAAACACATTTCTATTCTTTTTTTCGCTTTCATCCCCCTTCAAAGTCTCTGGTAACTACTAAACTGCTCTCTATTTTCATGAACTCCACTTTTTTAGCTCCCACATATGCGTGAAGACATGCGATATGGGTCTTTCTGTGCCTGGCTTATCTCACTTCACATAATGGCCTCCTATTCCATCCGTATTGCTGCAAACGGCAGGATCTCATTCTTATGGCTAAATAATATTCCATTGTGTATATACCATATATTCTTTATCCATTCATCCACTGTTAGACACTTGGGTGGATTCCATATCTTGGCTGTTGTGAATAAAGCTACAATGAACATGGGTGAGGCAGGAATGTCTTCGAGATACTGATTTCATTTTCTTTGGATCTACACCTAGTAGTGTAATTGCTGGAGCCTGTGGAAATTCTAATTTTAGTTTGCTGAGGAACCTCCATACTGTCCTCCATAACGGCTGCACTCATTTACATTCCCACCTGCAGCGTAGGAGGGTTCCCCTTTCTTCAGTCTGGAGGAGCTCAGTTTTGAGACGTAGAGAAAAGTGGTACATGTACACACGGGTTGACTAGCATAAATGAGAGCTGAAAATCTATCATGGGAATTAAAGATTTATCTGAACTTAATTTTAGCTAATGTTTTCATTAGAATTATTTATATTGTATATAAATATCATAATACACGTTTATATATTCTACAACATATACTATTTGTGTAGCATTTATAATAATACATGTTAGTAATGTGTTACAGTTTTGATCAGATTCTCCATATACTCCTGCTTTAAAACATTCATGGCCTTGAGTCCCTGGGTAGTTGGCATTCATCTATGGGGATGGCAGAGGTTGTACATTCCTGGAGTGGACACAGCTGTTGAGCCATAAGGCTCTTTGTCAAGGGGAAAATGTATATGAGGTGTGGTTCCCAGCGTGTGTTCCTGGAGCACCAGAGACAGCATCACCTGAGGACTTGTTAGACATGCAGATTCTCAGGCTTTACCCCAGACCTGCTGAATCAGCAACCCCGAGCTTTCCAGGTGATTCCAATGTGGCTAAACTTGAGCCCCTCTGTCAGGGGGGTTGCAGGCATGGGCACAAGAGCCTTGCTGTGGAATGCACCACTGCCCTGTGTCTGCTGTTGGGAACTTGGGCGAGTCGCTTACCCTCTCTGTGCCTCAGTTTCCTCTTCATGGGGATAATGATGTTGCCTACCTCTCAGGGTTGGTGTGAGGGCTAAATAAGTTTCCATGTGGAAAGCACTTAGAGCAGTGGCAGGCATGAGGCAGTTTGAGAGTTATCTGTGTATGATGATGATGATTCTCATCACCGATCTGAACTTTTATTGCTATCATTACTTCTCTGAATCTTTATTACATTGTCTTATTCTTGCTTGAGTTACTCTTCATCTGTGTCTTTCCCACGTTGGGCTACCCTGGCTCCATTCTTGCCTATTACTTGCTTATATCTTTTTTCCAACGGATCAGTAGCTTTCTGCCCATTTCCAGGTTGATTTCTCTGATAGAACAGTGTGTTCCAGCTTGCCATGGTGGGTTTTTGGATTGTTCGTTGTTATAAGAGCTTCTATCTTTGATGAAATGTCTTTCTTCCCTCAAGATGTCAATGGGTAGTGCCTTTCCACTTCCCATTCTCCTTGCTGTGTCCCCAACACCGGAAATGTAGTTCTCCATACAGCTAAGGACCTTTTTCAATGTGCTTTCTGTTTCATTCTGTTTCAAAGTGTGTTTATTTTCTTTCCTTTAACTCCAGAAAACAAATGCTCATAGCATAAGCACTCAGTGACCTCAGACCATGAATCTTTTACTGGTTTGAAGCAGAAAAGAGTAATACTGACCTATTCATTCCACAGCTTTAAGAACTTCACTGGGTAGAAATCACCATTCTAAGAATTACAATCCCAACCCAGAAACTGAAACGATAAACAAAAACTGCAGAAATAAACATTATTTCCAGAAACTAAAAAAACTGCTAATGGTTTATATGGAATATTGCTTAGCTGGGAGGATTAACTCTTTTCCCATTTGCCCCCAGAATACTCACTGGCAGCACTGAGGCTGCAGCATTTACCCGGAAATGACTTTGCCACACAATATATTACTTTCATTATTATTTTCACATCACTCCAGTATATCAGCTTTGGAAACAAAGGACATCATCGCATTTATAGCATTCTGTTTTTAGTAGTTGTATTTTTATTTGCAAAATGTAGTCATTCTTGATTGCTGGAAAACACAGCATTCCTACACACGATGTTAATGTCAGTCTTCAACAGTTGTTGGCCAGAGATTCATTTGATGAATCTGATTTTTCCTAAATAGACAATTGTGATGGTTCAGATGATTCTGATATTAGTTCTGTTTAGAAATAACTCTAAGAACGATTTTTATGTTTTATTTTTGCATTGAAAATCAATCATATTTTCTTCAGCCTCAAAGAACATGTTTATGTAAAATTAAATGAGCACTGGTGGCAAGCTGCACTTTTTTTTTAAATGAGAAAAAGGTTAAGATGGGGGAAATTAGAAGAAAATATTCCTCTGTTATTCTTCTTGTTTTTATCTTTTGGGAAACTGTTATTGTTGCTTACCATGTTAGAATTAATCCAGGTCTATTAAAGACTAAGGGAAAATACTCTAAGGCAGTAACATGAAATTATATGAAATAAGAGTATGTGCCGGGCGCGGTGGCTCACGCCTGTAATCCCAGCACTTTGGGAGGCCGAGGCGGGTGGATCACAAGGTCAAGAGATCAAGACCATCCTGGTCAACATGGTGAAACCCCATCTCTACTAAAAATACAAAACATTAGCGTGCCTGTAATCCCAGCTACTCAGGAGGCTGAGGCAGGAGAATTGCCTGAACCCAGGAGGCGGAGGTTGCGGTGAGCCGAGATCGCGCCATTGCACTCCAGCCTGGGTAACAAGAGTGAAACTCCGTCTCAAAAAAAAAAAAAAAAAAAAAAGAGTATGTATCAACAAGGATTTAAACTTCATGAAAGAAGTCTGCTGAGGATTAAAATTCTATAAATTAAGAGCCTATGATAAAGTGCAATTCATAAAGCCTGTGGGTAAGATTGATGGGCACAATGAAGATTCTGGGTCTTAACAAAGCAATGACAAAGAGGTCGTTTACCAAACATGCTGTGGCCACAATAGGAGGATCCAGCCTGTTAGAGGCTGTACAGGTTAATTGGAAATACTTTAACTCTAAAAGAGTAATAACTGCAAATAATTGGCGGATCAGAAGAAAGGTAGGAAGTCTAAGTGTGCCTATGTGTGTGTGTGAGACACAAAAATATATGGGTGTAGACAGATGGATGCCTGACAGATACAGATGATAGATAATAGGTAGGTAGATATTTAGACAGATGATAAATAGGTAATTCAGAGATAATAGATTGATAGGTGATAGATAATAGATGGCAGAGTTGGTAGGTAGTTAATTGATAGGTAATAGATGAATAGAAGATACATAATAGATAGGCAGATAGCTTAGGAAGAATCATTTTAGAAAAAAAGATACAAAAGAACCTCTGGAATTTAGAGGAGATTGCATGAAACCGTGGATGTTTAAGGGGATTTTGTTGTGGACTGACAGGAACCCTTGGCTAACTTCCAAAGACTTTGGGCCTGGTTCTTTCTGCCAGGACCCAGCTGTGTCAAGTGGGATGGTTCTGACAATCTTTTCCACACTAATGTCCTATGACTCAACAGTAGCAATGCATTTCCACAGGCGGTAAAAATATTCTAGACTCTTCCCTTCCAGCGCTCACTGTTTACTTCCTCTGCGCTTCCCCTTCCTGCCTCCCGGTGTGCTGGTCAGTTCATAGCCAGGCTCAATGAGGGTGGGTTAACCCTCTCTTTCCAGGGTGTTTTGCTACGGAGCTCCCTCCAGGGGCTGGGAACTCTGTGGTGAGGGCTGTGGCTGGGATTCAGCTTCCTTCTTACGTCATTCCTTGAACCTTTACCCTATTCTGTGCACTGTGGCAGATTACCAGGGATTGGAAGGTAAATGCCATGGTGTAACTCTTAGAAAATCATTGGGGGCCAGTTTTACTGGGGTGCACTTGGTAACCACCTATGAACCCATGTATCCCTCTTTCTTTCAGGCAGTAGCAGAATCCCATGGTAGCCAGGTGGGTGAAGGGGACCGAGGACGTTCTACCTGCCTTGAAGAAGACACCTGACCTGCGGAGTGAGTGACCAGGTAGTAGATGGTTCTGAGGGCATCGCACACTTGAGGGAGGGAGGAGGACAGCGAGGGCCATGGCACCTTTTGACTGCAGACTGCAAGCTGCTCTCTTTTCCACAGAGAAACGCTGCACCCAACACACACAGAGGCTCTAGGTCTTGTCCTGTGATTTCTATCCACCAAGCCTTGATACGAGGTACAATCAATGCTGTTAACTCCAGCACTAGATACACAGGACTGCAGCAAGCACACTCCCAGCAGAAAAAGGAAACAGATCCAGTTCACTCCAAGCCTGGCTGGCTGCCCCTTTGAAAGACAGTTTAAAACAGAAGCTTCATGATGCTGCCTTTATACAAACAGGGCCAAGCTTTCCAGAATCTGGTGGAGGGCTGAGTGCCCGCACAACACTTGCGTATCACTCACACTGGAAAACTTAAGCTTCTGTTTTTATTTCAGTGGATTGAATGGCATGCAGTTTCCTCAGAAGTTTCAAAAAAAAAAAGGTGCATGCAGTCACTTGCAGGCAGGCTGCATTTGTCTCTGCTGGTGCTCACGTTACAAGCTGGTCTGTGCATTTGGGCTTGCCAGAATGGCGTTTCGTTTCCAAACCTTTACTGTGGTCGCTTTCCTCTTCGTTATACTGAAAAGTGTTGCTGAGGGTATAGTAAGGCCCTAGTTCATCAATTAGATCCTGTACTTTCCTTCTAACTTGATCCCAAGAACAGTGGAATTTGCTTCAAGGTAAAGAAATTCTGAATAATTTAAGGCCCTTCTTTGCAACAAAAATGACTTTCTTAGAAAAAAAGCAATTTCATGGGAGCATTTAGTAAATAACACACTCTTAATAATGTAGCAGGAAAATTAAAATGCCCAGCAGACCCCTTGCATCCTGAACAGTTGTTTGCTGCTAATGGATACAATTTCCATTTCCTTGAAGGGATTTGCCCAGAGGATTACCTCCAAAATTTCTATTGAGATAATACTGCTCTAACAGAAAAAGCATTGCATGAATCATAAACCACTGTATATAGTTCCTTTATAAAAGGGGAGTTTTTTAAAAATACTGAAAATACCAATGAGGTGAAGAAAAACATGCCACACAGGTACTCTGTAATCACCAACATTATCTTTCTCAAGGAATGTGGGGAAATTTATGTCAGTCACCAGGCAGGTACTATAAGATACTGGGGGCCCGCACAGTCAGCTTGTTCCCGGCTGTTAACTTGGAGCAGAGCGTACCCTGGGGCTGAGCACAGAAGCCCAGCACTTCTTATAGGTAGGTCTTTTCGGCTACAATGTTAGATACCTATACTTACTGACTTCTTCATTTGCTCTTTAAAATAGATTTCTCCTGCTGGTTCTACTTAGTTCTAAGGAGTAAGGAAGAATTTTGGTGCCATACCTAAATATCATATCTAAAGTGACATTGGTAGCACTTTTCCAAGAATAACCAGCATATTGATCAAGCCATTAATAAAGCCTAATTATTTGCTATAAGAATGTTTTGGGTTGTTTGCTAACTAAGCTTTTCTCAAAATCATAATAAAACTAGAAGAGGTTGTAGATTCTTAAGTATTCATTAGATTGAGGGAAAATGAATTGCTGTTACCAAGAATATCATGCAAAAGGTAGGTTCTAAAAAATGCATTACTACCAACTAAGTGTTAAAGATTTATACTAATATTCTCCATATCAAGAAGTATTTCATGCATATTACTAGATTTATGCTCAGTCAAATAATTTTAAATGTTCTATAATTGGGAATACATGGTAGCTGAATATCAGTAAACACATCGCTCTATGAGATATATGCATATGAGTTTATCACAAAAAAATAGCATAACTTTTTTTTTGGAATATGAGGCTCTGTTTTAACAATTTACCTTATTCAGTAGTAACAAAACCCCTGAGGAATAGGCTGTATTACCATTTTAAACATTGGAGAGCGGAGGTCTAGAGAGGTTAAATAGCTTTCACCAGGTCACACAGCTGATGAATTGCAGAGTCAGCATTTGACCCAGGTCTGCTCTTTTGCAAAGCCTCTGCTCCACACTCTACCCTACTGACCACTTAAGCACAGATCAGTTAATCTTGCCTTCAGAATTATCCTTTCTTGCATACTTCTATATACGTTCATACTTACTTCATGTAATGATTCTATTTTCTGAAAGTTCCACCACATACGACCGTAACGAAATGTCTTTGTCGTTTCTCTAAGTGTTCCCAGATCCCGGCAATGGATTCCACTCACATGGGCATGTCCAGCACGCCCCTGGTGAAGCACACTGCTGGGGCTGGGCTCAAGGCCAACAGACCCCGTGTCATGTCCAAGAGTGGGCACAGCAATGTGAGAATTGACAAAGTGGATGGCATATACCTACTCTACCTGCAAGACCTGTGGACAACGGTTATCGACATGAAGTGGAGATACAAGCTCACCCTGTTCGCTGCCACTTTTGTGATGACCTGGTTCCTATTTGGAGTTATCTACTATGCCATCGCGTTTATTCATGGGGACTTAGAACCCGGTGAGCCTATTTCAAATCATACCCCCTGCATCATGAAAGTGGACTCTCTCACTGGGGCATTTCTCTTTTCCCTGGAATCCCAGACAACCATTGGCTATGGAGTCCGTTCCATCACAGAGGAATGTCCCCATGCCATCTTCCTGTTGGTTGCTCAATTGGTCATCACGACCTTGATTGAAATCTTCATCACCGGAACCTTCTTGGCCAAAATTGCGAGACCCAAAAAGCGGGCTGAGACCATCAAGTTCAGCCACTGTGCAGTCATCACCAAGCAGAATGGGAAGCTGTGCTTGGTGATTCAGGTAGCCAACATGAGGAAGAGCCTCTTGATTCAGTGCCAGCTCTCTGGCAAGCTGCTGCAGACCCACGTCACCAAGGAGGGGGAGCGGATTCTCCTCAACCAAGCTACTGTCAAATTCCACGTGGACTCCTCCTCTGAGAGCCCCTTCCTCATTCTGCCCATGACATTCTACCATGTGCTGGATGAGACGAGCCCCCTGAGAGACCTCACACCCCAAAACCTAAAGGAGAAGGAGTTTGAGCTTGTGGTCCTCCTCAATGCCACTGTGGAATCCACCAGCGCTGTCTGCCAAAGCCGGACATCTTATATCCCGGAGGAAATCTACTGGGGTTTTGAGTTTGTCCCTGTGGTATCTCTCTCCAAAAATGGAAAATATGTGGCTGATTTCAGTCAGTTTGAACAGATTCGGAAGAGCCCAGATTGCACATTTTACTGTGCAGATTCTGAGAAACAGAAGCTTGAGGAGAAGTACAGGCAGGAGGATCAGAGGGAAAGAGAACTGAGGACGCTTTTATTACAACAGAGCAATGTCTGATCACAGGGGCACCATGCAGGTTTAACCGTGCATGCTGTTTCCGCATCAGAACTCCCTTCAAACACAAAGACTGCTGTGAAGACAAAAATGTGTAGACGTACTCTAAAAACCTGCACGGACATACAAAATCAATCTTTTCCTGTGATCTTGTGGCTAAACCAGCATTTCTGTGTTTGAGAGAGTTCCTTTTAAATGCTTTATCTGAAAGTGAACTCTTATAATTCAGATTGTGTAAAATGGGGCTACATTTCTAAGAGCTTGGTGTAGGGCAATTGGAATAATGTCCTGTTAGATAAACAGACACTTAGCAATGCTAACATTAAAAGTATATGTATTTCTATACAAGATTATTACCTGTAATATAAGATATTTATTTAACCAAGTGTCAATGACCTTATGGCCAAGACTTCATTTATCTCATTGCTTTCATTGATCTCACTGCTTTAAAACATGCTGTTTTTGTTCAAGCAGGAAAAATATTATATCTAATGATTGTGTGATAATACCTGAAAAGAGGTAGAGAGACTCTGTTCACAAAATGTAGTAATTTTATTTTTACCTTTCTTCAGTGGACTGAATTGTATGAAAGGAAACTGATCAGATCTGTAATTCACAACTGTGGAAACCTACACAAATGGGGCTGATGCCATTGTTTCCTCTATTTCTTCTTTTTTTGGACTGTACTATCCTCTTTCCATTCAAAAAGTTTCCATTCAAAATGTGGTTCACAGACCCGCCACATCAGCACCATCCAAGAGCTTATTAGTAACGCATAGATTCTCAGGCCCCAGCCAGACTTACAGAATTGGGGTCTGTATCTTGACAGGACCACCAAGTGAATTGTGTACAAATGAAAGTTTGGAAGGTCTGTTCTGGACAATGTTTCCAAAGCAACTTTCTGAAGCCATGTGGAAAACTGACTCTGTGGGTCCCATATCCCCGTGCCATCCAGACCTGGCCTCTGTTCAGTTCATTATCATTGGCCAATATTTCTTTCAGCCATTTCATTTTTTATCTATTAAAATGCCTTGCCCATAAAGGAACTGCATATAATTATCCCCTGACATTCCAAGAGCAAAATAAACCTCTTGAGAGTAATTGTTGTCTCAGTTATGCCTGTTGATTACAGTTAGCACAAAAGAAAAATTCAGCTGCCTGACAATACAGGAAATGTTCTCAGAGGCTGAAGTTTGTAAGGTCTGGTGGGGCCATAAGGAAGAAGAGGAGCTAAAAGTAAGGAATTCATAAACAAGATGACTCCCTGATGCATGAACAAGATTTGAAAATCTCAAACCTGTAAAGAATACCCTCGCTATTTGAATAAAGCTTATACAAAGAGGTAACATTTCGCCCCTGGAAAAATTCAGGGGTCTGGTGCTCTGCATTCCTTTGAGGCAAAAAAATAAATAAATAATAATAATAAATGGGCTATGACTGGTTAAATGTCCGAAAGGTGAATTCTCATTTGATTCAAACGGAGACAGATTTGCGCATTCACTCAAGCAGAATGTGACCATGAATGTTCAGCCCCTGCACACATACAAAGATGTACGCGATTCCCCCCACTGCACACAAATACTCACACGCAAGCACACACATGCACATACCCTGGCTCTTCGAGCATAATCAGGGGAGCCATCAGTGAAAGACATTTGCGATTAAGACAAGTCCTTGACAGACACGTTCATGTCTATTTGGTTCTATAAAAATATGAACATTGGGACTCAGAGCAAAAAGGGAAGATAAACTGGATTCAGGTTATCAGTGAAATGATGGTATAGATTACAGCAAATCTGGCTATATGTTGATGTTACTGCATTTGTAAATATCCTCCCATTAAAGAGAAAATGTGGCTAAAACCCCCAGACTGGAGCTGAACTAGTTTAAGGCAGGTGTAGGGATAATCGGAGTCAAGTTTGTGAAAGTTTAAAGAACGATCTCAATCCATGAATGAAAGGGAAGATGTTGCTTCTTTAATTATTTGGAAGGTTTTTTTTTCTTTTTCTGTTGATAATTTTATGGAAGGTTGCTTTAGATCTCCATTCCTTAAAAAGTATTACATGTCAGTGTAGTTAGATATTATCTCTTTTAGTTATTACACTTGCTATTTTTTACTGTATATTGTGGTCTAATCAACAAAAAAATAATGCCATGGGCATGTTTAGACCTTTTGTGTTGCACTATTAAATTTTTTTCAGAGTATTTATATCAGTGCTAACTTGAATGTGATTCAGATTAAAAATCTTGCTCACTTATATTGTACATTGTACAAGGACATAGCATAAGAGTCAGAAAAATTTTTGTATTTCATTTAGCATATCAATTTCAGCCAAATTTGGAAGACTTGACTATCTGACCTTTTGTGCTACACACACAAAACAAATATTGGAGTAGAAATACCACCTTAAAATATATCTTAATTTACATTTAGATAATATTGAAATCACAGTCTGTTAAAATTAGAAATGTAATTCAAATAAAAATCAAACAAAATAGTTGTTTCAATTTATCTAAATATCTGTCTGGTTTTTAAGAGTGTCTGAAAAATCTATATAAGTCAATAAATCATATTTTAATATTCAATAAAAAGCTCTGAAGCTGTATCTGGTTTGAAGCTTACCATTTTCCTGGCCCCTTAACTATCATTACTTGGTGCATAATACTTTCATGTTACCACGTTAACAAAGGATTTAGGTAGCAAACTTCATTTATTATGTCTGGTCAGTCTTCTGCTTGAAACAGATTCACCCTCAATACCCAGCTAAGGCGAAGCCAAAGTAGTGGAGTATTCCTGACCCAAAAAGGCTTTTGAATTTTGAAACATTTCTAATGTGTTAGGTTTTCTCAATGAGACCATTAAAAAACGTTGTGTTCCATTTGAGAAACCACAGAGTCAACAGCAGTAAATCAGTGTGCTCCACAAGCCATGTCTTATTCAGTAATAAAACAGACGGCGCTCACATGGTGCCTGGCAGACAGCAACTCTGGGCAGCAAAGCACTGAGTCACCCAACTCCACTCCTTTGGGATGGGGTTGGGAGTCATGCATTGGCTCCCTTTTTCATCATGGGGAAATTACAACACAAAGTAGAGTGTCCAGAAAGCTAAAGAGCTGGTTTAAGGTCGAAAAATGCCATGAATTAATGAACCAGGTATTTAGATAAATCAAAACAACTATTTTGTTGGATTTTTATTTGAATTAAATTTCCCAATTTTAATGGACTGTGATTTCAATTTTATCGAAAAGTAAATGAAGATACATTTTTAAGGTGGCATTTCTACTCCAGTATGAAAAAAAAAAACAGTGGCATTTCTACTCTAGTATTATTCTGTCTTTTGTTTGAGTCTTCAGTATACATGCCTCACCTGGAGGGAGAAGAAGAGAAAGGAAAAGAAAATTGAAAGCACTAGGCCTTTAACAAGGTTTGGTTCTGTATGCTGTCATGATGTGCAAAAGGTCAGACATTTGACCACATGCCACAGCGAAGGCTCTCAGACTCTCAGTTTTGACTTTTGTTCTTGCTAGACTTTCCTTCGCCAATTACATATTTGAAATAACCAGTTTTATCATAGTTTTCCATGATGTGATTTTTTTTTTTTTAAACTGAAAGGTATTAGCATTTCCAGTCTTGATTTCCAAGTTCTGTGGTGTGCACTAGAAATCCAGTCTCTGGTTGTTAGACTCTGGGTAGGTAAAAGATGCTCTTAATTTTCTTCCCTTGGGGAAGACTACACTTGAAAGTCTAAAGCTTAACATTCACTTAAATGATTAATTGCATGCACTTCACCCTTTGTGAACTTCACTTTATCTTTAATCAATGTGACGTCCCAGTCAATCCTGGGATCTGTGGAAAGCAATGAGTGATTTTCTGCTCTCAAAACTTATGTGACTTCTGAGTAGTATTAGAATCTCCAGAGTTAGAATTTGCAATAAAATTGTATGATTAGAAATTAATTGGGATTTTAAAGAATAAGGAGTTATTTGCCTTCTTAAACTACTGGCATGTGTCAGTGTCAGTAAACTCTGTTTTTTGTTTTGTTTTTTGTTTGTTTTCTGAGACAGTTTCACTCTTGTTGCCCAGGCTGGAGTGTAATGGTGCGATCTTGGCTCATTGCAACCTCCACCTCCTGGATTCAAGTAATTCTCATGCCTCAGCCTCCCAAGTAGCTGGGATTATAGGCACCCACCACTACGCCTGGCTAATTTTTGTATTTTTAGTAGAGATGGGGCTTCACCAAATTAGCCATGCTGGTCTCGAACTCCTGACTTCGTGATCCGCCTGCCTCAGCCTCCCAAAGTGTTGGGATTACAGGAGTGAGCCACTACGTCGGGCCTTTTTTTGGCTTCGCAGGAAGAGCAATTCCCCTAGACTTCTAAGAAAAACTAACGGATGTTTTCCCAAAGTTTTTCCACTAAATACTTTTTAAAAAGACATGAGGCAAAACTAGAGCTTCGGCCACTTCACTTCACCTTAACCCTCTGGGCCTCATCATCTGGCACCCAATTTCTTTTCAACATCACATGTGTTGACAGTTTCTTCATATTTGCTGCTGATTCTATTAAGTCAAATAGATTGGTGGGTTAAAAAATAATCAATTCAAATTAGGAATTTGTGGACATTCAGGTATCCACATATGGAGAACAGGAATTTTTACTTTTCAATTGGTATGTTGGCAGTGCAAAAAAACAGAAGACAAAGAGAAGGTGGTTGATTGGAGTTGATAGTTAATAGCTAATAAAAGGCCGGGTGCAGTGGCTCATGCCTGTAATCCCAGCACTTTGAGAGGCTGAGAGGTCAGGATCATGAGGTCAAGAGATGGAGACCATCCTGGCTAACATGGTGAAACCCCATCTCTACTAAAAATGCAAAACTTAGCCAAACGTGGTGGTACATGCCTGTAGTCCCAGCTACTCAGGAGGCTGAGGCAGGAGAATTGCTTGAACCCAAGACGGGGAGGCTGCAGTGAGCCAATATCGTGCCACTACACTCCAGTCTGATGACAGAGTGAGATTCTGTCTCAAAAAAAAAGAAAAAAATATATAAAAATTACAAGAATGGATGGTGGAAGTCAAAGGACAGAGGTGATACGTGAGTATAAAAGCCAAGAAAGTCATATATGTAGGTAAAGGCTATGTAACCTGAATAGAACGCCAGAGAGCTAGGGCTGCCAGGCACCCTGTATGTGCAGAATATGTGTTCACATAATCCCAAACTATGCCCATTTCTAGAAAAGAAACAAACACATGCTTCTTTATTTGGAGTTTATGATATATACAGAACTAGTAGCAGAGGCAGGGAGTATTCCAGAAACATATTTCCCTGGCTTGCCCAATTAGCAAGAGAAAATTTCAACTGAACGCAGGGAACCCAGTCTTCAACACTTCTGTGTGCAGTGTGGAGCAGCGAGCACGGTCTGAGTCCCCATAGCGAGGGATGGTCTTCCCTGGGGCATCACCCTAGAAAGATGGGTTCAAAGTCACCCTCCACGTGGGTGCACAGGAGCCCAGATTCTCAAGCCCCAGCTGAAGAAGTAGGCTTATCATGTTACAAAAGAGTCCTCCTAAAAGTCCATCACCAAGTTTTGTTCAGTTAGCAACCCTTGCCACATGATATGGTACTTAGCTATAATTTTATCTTTATTCAAGGCCAAATCTTATCTAGTCCATGCCTTCCCACATACTTAAAATTTCTAATTTCATCCTCGAAAATATTTAAGTAAATAAAAGTTAGATCTATTCAAATATAGACTCCAAGGGAATTACTATAATTGATTATAGTGTATCTATTTCCTTTAAAAAAAAAAAATCAGGCCAGGCGTGGTGGCTAACGCCTGTAATCCCAGCACTTTGGGGGGCTGAGGTGGGTGGATCACAAGGTCAGGAGTTCAAGACCAGCCTGGCCAAGATGGTAAAACCTCGTCTCTACTAAAAAAAATACAAAAATTAGCTGGGCATAGTGGCGGGCACCTGTAATCCCTGCTGCTCAGGAGGCTAAGGCAAGGAATTGCTTGAACCAGAGAGGTGGAGGTGACAGTGAGCCAAAATCATGTCACTGCACTCCAGCCTGGGCCACAGAGTGAGACTCCATCTCAAAAA